ATTGGCTGCAAAGTAATTTTTTGAGGGCCAGCCTAAGGATGAAATCTGATGTTCAAAAATAAATGCAACTACATCCACATTTGTTTCCATCAAATCTTAATAAAAAATGATGACTGATGAACAGAAATATATGGCTATCCAAACCACATAAACCATGAAACTGCTGTTCTTTGTCTAACATGTCATCAAGATCTACACAAATTCAGATTTTTAAATTGTCAGCTTTGAAAACACTAACCTCAATTCAACAAATAAACTGTTTAAATATACAATTAAAAGTGTAAAGCCCCATGCACCTAGGAATATCCAAAGCTATAATGCAAAAGCATTGGCATACTTATATTTTTTTAGGCCCCTGGTAATCATCTTATTTATGAGTTACACTCCTATATGTAACAGCAATAATGCAAACCAGACACCATAACAGTTTTAATCTGGAGGATACAAATGTGAAAAAAAGTGAAATTTGCCTTTACTTTGTTATATAAAAGCATCTATTTGTGTATTCTAAGTATTATTTATAAAACATATTTCCTCAAAAACTCTTTAATTCTTCCTGACAATATGTTTCAAAGAGGGAATTCCCCGATATATCAAAATATTAAAATTAAAATTCTGCTACAAATACACATAAGAAATGTGTAAAAAAATTGAAAAACCAAAAAAAAAAAAAAAAAAAACACACAAAAAAAAAAAGGATAGTAGGTTTCTTAAAGTACTTTACAAAATAAATACTTTTACCACCTTGTGATTTTAAGACCAATCAATATACTATAAAGTACTCTTTTGTAGCTCGTAAGGCTTCATTTTGTGCCTTAACAAAAGCCGACATTCATTCGTAATGAAGTCTTTTTATAGTTACACAGCTATTTCATGTCTCTTAGGAAGATATATTAAACCTTTGGATGCTCAATAAAAATGACCAATTAATTGACACTATCACAAAAACCTGAGAAGCTATTATACAATATTTACATCAAAGACCAGCTCAAGCCAGAAAGAATTATATTATTCTTCCTTAACTTCCCTAAGTTGAAAACTGACTTGAAATGAGTCCTTTCAAAGGAAACTACAAAAGATGCACCACAATGGGTAAATTCTGAATATCAACATTCAAATTTATGTTAAGGAAGGAACGAAACATCTTCAGAAATCCCTATGAGGGAACATCAGAAAACTGTGGGGATTAAGACGGTAGACAGGCTCTGGGATCAGAGACCACTCAGTTTGAATCTTTGCTTCATCCCTCTCTAAATTTAGGACCTTGGGCAAGTTAATAAAAAGCTCTCTGAGTCTTAATTTCAATTATCAAATGTAAACACAAGGCCTACTTACAAGGCTGTTGTGAGAACTAAATTAGATAACATATATAAATAGACTGCTTAGCACACAGTAACTTGACCATGATGAATACTCAATAAATGATCGTAATTCCCAAGAAATTTTTAAGAATCTATTTTAAGTGTAATTTAGTAATCAAATTCCAACTGATGTTGTAAACCATTTGAAGAAAAAATATGTAAGGATTCAAAAACAGAGTTTTATTAAATGCACTTAACCTGATTATCCTTTGCATTAGAGCTTTCCAAAGTATAGTTCCTGACCTGTTAATGGGATGTGAAATCATTCAGCAATCTCAACAAGCATTTTTTAAATAAAATAGAATAAAAAATATAAGAATGCATTGCACATTCAAAGTCTAAGTATTACTTCATTAATTTTTTAATTACACATATTTATAATGTATCTGTATACTGAGTGGCAATGTAAAATGCATCTCTTACTATGCTAAAATAAAAGTTTAGGTCAGGCAAAATACTGTAATCCCAGTATTTTGGGAGGCCAAGGGAGGAGAATTGCTTGAGCCCAAGAGTTTGAGACCAACCTGGGCAACACAGTGAGACCTTGTCTCTTAACAACAACAAAAAAAAAAGTGTAAAAGCCATTGCTTTAAAAAGAAAAAACAAGCCGGGCGCGGTGGCTCACGCCTGTAATCCCAGCACTTTGGGAGGCCGAGGCAGGTGGATCACGAGGTCAAGAGATCGAGACCATCCTGGGCAACATGGTGAAACCCCGTCTCTACTAAAACTACAAAAAAAATTAGCTGGGCATGGTGGCACATGCCTGTAATCCCAGCTACTCAGGAGGCTGAGGCAGGAGAATTGCCTGAACCCAGGAGGCGGAGGTTGCGGTGAGCGGAGATCGCGCCATTGCACTCCAGCCTGGGTTACAAGAGCAAAAACTCCGTCTCAAAAAAAAAAGAGAAAAAACAAAAAAAGCCATTGCTTTACATTAAAATAACGAAAATAAAAAGTAGCTGATGCTGAGTGCTTAGTTTGTGCTAGACATTATGCTATGCCCACATTATTTTATTTGATCCTCACAAAAATGTTCTAAGTAGGATTACTTCCCCCATTTTACAGATGAGGAAACTGAGGCTTAGATTAAATCACTTGCCAAGGATGCAGAGCTAGTAGCTAGTAAAGCCAATGTTCAAGTTCAATCACCTGCCTCAAGAACTTGAGTATTTAACCACTTCCGTAAGTACTATGTTGTAAAATATACCTTTTCTTGATATAAAAGTTATCCAAAAGGTAAAGTTTTTCATGAGGTCTAATTCCAGTGTGATTTTCTGGGGAAAATCTCAGAGAAAGTTGAGTGATTCAGGGGAGAAAGCTCTGGGTGTGAGATCCAGCTTCTGTCCCTGGCACTGCTGGCAAAGAGCTGGCAGGTCATTTAATCTCGCCATGTCTGGATTTCCTCACCTACAAAATGGGAATGATAATATCTGCCCTGCCTCCCCACAGGCCACTGTGAGAAACTATATGCACATACAACAAGTGAAATGTTCTATTGTGCTACTCAGTTGCAGCAGATTAAACATGATGGAAAAAAAACCACCCAAGAGGCCCCATTCTTGGAAGAAACACATCAACTATAAACTGAAAAAGGAAGGTCACCAAGCTTTCATAAACTGTATGTGGAAAACCTCTGCACAGTTCTCTGCACACAGTAGGCCTTCAGTAAATGTTCATTGAATTAAAAGAAGTAAACAAATTCCATCTGTACACATTTTATCCATTTGTATTTTTTTCACCTATTCATTCTTTCTTTCCACGACTACATACTGAACACCTACTGTGTGCCAGATCAGAAATGTGGACCACAAAAGAAGACTAAAAGATTGTCTCTTGTCCTGGAGAATTTCAGATTAATGTCAATTAATTGTTCTAAAATTGAGTAAGAGAAAAACTGTATAACACAGCTTCCTCATCTAGCAATAATAATAACTTCCATTTATCATAGTGCTTTGTAGTTTATGAAGAACTTGCTTTTGTTTCTCAACCGACTGCCTATGGTCAAGTTGGTGTTAGCTTCCTCCTCCAAATTCAGTGCTCTGTAGGTACTGCTAAGTCTTTAGAGTGAAAGTTTCTCAATGTGTTAGAGATGACTGTAAAATTAAGCTTTTGAATAAAATGCATTTTAAATAATCAACAGTGAAAAGGGCAATCCAGTAGCATGATTTTTTTTCCCTGCCCACTTCTGAGTTGAAGTGATCTGTAATGCAACCATATTACATTTTTCAAAATGTTTCTTTTTCAAAGCTGCCTTTGAAATTTTTTTTCATACGGGCAGTTTTTTCTTGAATATACTGAACAAGAAGTCCCTTTTCCTAAAGAATAAAGGAGACAGTAGTGAAGGCGTCTTCTCTTTGTTGACTTTTTGGAAATTACTCAAAATTGACTGTTTTATTGAGATTCCTGAGTCACAAACAATGCCAAAGAACTGTGGGCCATTTTATATATAATTCCACAACTACTATAGTTGATTTTTAAAGGAAACATTGATTTAACTCACGATTTAATGAATCAAAAATTTGCTTTTTCTAAAACTGCCTTATCCTTTGTATTCTAACCGCTCCCTCTCCACCACCACTACTTACCACCCCCAACACACACACACACACACACACACACACACACACACACACACACACACACACACACACGCTCCCTCACCTACACCAGATCAGTTTCCCGGCCATTATTCCTAAAACCATATTAAAATTTCACAACACATGGTCGTAGTTACTAGGTTTTCTTCCCCCTCCCCCTCCACTGAATCGATATGTCTTGAAATATATATTCTCTCTTAAAATCCAGAATTCAGAAAACAATTACGATATCTCTAATTCAAGAACACATATTATAAAATTCAAAGTCGGCTTCTGTTTACTGATAATCATGAAAAAAAAAAAAAAAAAAAAAAAAAGCCATACCCCACCCACCGTATCCATAGGGTGAGGAGGTCCAATCTCGCCACTACAGAGCTCTGCAAGAAAGGACGGTTATAGTGCCAGGAAAACCATCGCAACAAGCCCTAGGTGAAGATAAGGAAAACACATTTTACACCACGGGCAGCGCGCAGTCTCCCGGCCCCGGCCCTTGGTAAACAGGAGAAACCTTTGTCTTGCCTCAGCCTCAAACTGGTGGCTCATCAGAATTGGGGCAACAAGAGTTTGTGCGAAACGGTCTGGCAGAGGTTAAACAAAGCAATGCAGCTCTGGGGGCGGTGGGGAGAGGGCTGAGCCCGGACGGCGTCCGCGATTCCGGACGGCGAGGTCTGGCTCTGGCCCCGGCTGCGGTCGGGACGGAGCCGGGGACCCCGGGACGGGATGCCGAGGCGCGGGAACGGGAGAAGGCAGGCGAGGTCCCACGTTCTCCTCAAGTTCCCGGGGCGCAGCCCGCCGGCAGGTTCCCCTGCGGGGATCCAAAGCGCGCACCCGGGCGCTCAGGTTCCTCGGGGAGGGTCCGCGCCTCCCACGCGGGGACGCCGCCCCGAAGTCCACCGCCAGCCGCGCCGAGCCCACGCCCCCCGGGCCAGGTGCCCCGGAGTCCCGGAGCGCCGCGGGGCCCGGCCCGGAGGGGCGCGAGTGGAGGGGAGATGTCCGCCCCTGTCCCCATTGTCTGGCTCCTGCCGCGGGCCGAGCGGGCGCTCACCTGAGGTCCCCGCCTGGCGCTCCGGCTGACAGAGCCGCTGGCAGACGACCGGCGGTCCTGGTCGGGCGGCGGACTCGGCTGCACCGCGCGCGACAGCCTCCACAGCAGCAGCCGCCGCGGCAGCAGCACCAGCAGCGCACCCGCCTCTCAGGCGGCCGCGGCCTCCATTGCTCTCCCCACCGCCGCCACCGCGCGGCACTGCGCACCCGGCCCCGCGCGGCGTGGTCACATGCTCCGCCGGCGCCTCGGGCGCTCGGACCCGCGCCACCGCCCCGCCCGGCTTCGCCCCGGGACCCCGGAGCGCCTGGCGCCGACTTTCTTCCCGCGCCCTCTGTGAGTGGCGCTCACCGGACGGCTTCTCTCCCCAGGGGTGCCCAGAAACCCGGAGCGGGCCCCAGGGAGGGACGTGGGGTTGACCGGTGAGTGCCCTCCTGGCTTCTGCAAAGCATGACCCGAGGGAGGGCTGAACGCGTGGGGTCTGAGTTTACAGTGGTGGGCTCACAGCGAGGCGCATCCGGCTTGTGGCAAGAACGTGGGACCATCAGTCAACACCCCAGGGGATGCAAATTCGGCCCCTGTTACTCGCAGTAGCCACACTAATAGGGGATACGTGGAGCCCAGGGGGAGTTTCGCCCGGCAGAGTCCCTGCCATAAGAAATGGCACTAGAACTCCTGAGAGTTGAGGAAGTGGGAAAATGCCACCTAGAAACAGGCTAGAAATTGCATTGTTGACTCGCTGTACATCTGAACGGAGTGACATAGACCTTGGGGATTATTGTCCCCAGCCATAATGAAATTAAGTATTGATTTCAATGCTTTAAGGAAAATAATTGCTTATCTTCTTTTGTGGGCTAACGAAGAAAACACAAAGTCTTTTCCCTCGTACTTTTTGCTATGACTATGTCAATGCAACTACTGGAGATCAGTTTCTGGTGATCTTTTTAGTTTACTATGTATGCAAGAATGCTAAAAATAATTGAATATCATTATTAAACAAATCAAAATGACTAGACAAAAGATGCAAAATACGAAAGATAGCCCTATACCCAGTTACTGAGCCAATGTCCCAAATGACAAAACAAAACTAGTAATTTCTCTTTTTTTCTTTTCTTTTCTTTTTTTTTTTTTCTTTGAGACAGAGTTTTGCTCTTGTTGCCCAGGCTGGAGTGCAGTGGCGCAATCTCAGCTCACTGCAACCTCTGCCTCCCCAGTTCAAGCGATTCTCTTGCCTCAGCCTCCCGAGTCGCTGAGATTACAGGCCTGCGCCACCAAGCTAATTTTTGTACTTTTGGTAGAGACGGGGTTTCAAACAAACAAACAAAAAAAGAAGAAGTAGTTCTTAGAAGCCAAAAATCAAATTTATGCAGAACATGTAGCTGGGATCTTGTTTTTGATATATATTATAATCTTGCCAACTACATGAAAACACACTCAGATGTCCATATAAAAATTCAAATGTCCGTAAGTCAAGTGTAGGTCTACTATCTTTTCATTATAGGACAAGGCACCCCAATTCTTCATATACACCCCAGAGTTCTGGAGAAATGATGCTCATGTTGGAGCATTCTAACAACTAGACTTAGTGTCTCATGGGCCTCGGAAATCGGAAACCATCGGGCACCAGTTTTGACAGGTGCTGTTTTTTCCCCTCACTTTTCAAATAGTTTGTTCATAGCGACTACATCCAAGGCTATAACAAGATTGTGTGGCACCCTAACCCCAAGTATTAGTCTACTATTCCACTTTTTAAATAGCTAAGTGCTTACCAGTTGAAACATTTTTCAGAGGCCATACTACAAAAAAAAAAGATGTATGAACATCTGGAATTTTTTTTAGCTCTTAACTATTTAACTGCTAAATGGTTTTAGAAATGTGTTAGGGGTTATAAAAAATATGTGGGAAAGAAACTTCATAGTTAGACTGGTAGTTTACGTTGTAGGGATACTTGCACTGTAGAGACATTTGTCAGTGTCTTGGACGTATTTTTGTTTGTCTACACTGGGGATGGCAGGTGCTACTGCTGGGCATCTACTGAGTAGAAGCCATAGATGCTGCTAAGAATCCTACAATGCCCAGGACAGCCCCACAACCTAGAATTATCCAGCCCCAAATGACAATAGTGCTAAGGTTAAGAAACGCTGAGTTAGACCAAGAACTTCCAAAGCTGCTTCATTCTATAATCCACCATGTCTACGAATCATCCGTTTCCATGACTTTCTGTCCCTCAGCATGAGTCCATTGAATAATTCAATTAACTTCAGATATTTCCTCAAATTAGTAAAATGGAGATAACTATTCTATTTCACATACCTTCTAAATTACCATTATTATTGTGTCTAAAAATTAAGCAATGGAAAAATAAAATAGGCAAATACTAGCAGAAGAAAACATAGAGACATATCCATATGCAAAATAATCAATTTGGACCCCTGTCTCACCATATAAAAAAATTAACTCAAATGGAGTTAATTTACTCTAAAGGTAAGAGCTAAAACTATAAAACTCTTAGAAGAAAACAAAGGCATAAATTATGTCCTTAGGTTAGACAACGGTTTCTAAGATATGACATCAAAAATACAAGCAACGCAAGAGAAAAATGAACAATATCAAAATTTAAAACTTGTATGTTGCACATGATATCATCAAGAGAGTGAAAGTATGATACACGGAATTGGAGAATACATTTACAAATCATATATTGTATCTAACAAGGGACTTGTATCCGGAATACAGAAAGAACTCATGACACTCAATAATAAAATGACAACCCAATTTTATGATGGGCAAAGGATTTGAATGGATGTTTCTCCAATGAAAATACACAAATGACCAATGAGCAAATGAAAAGATGCTTAACATCATTAACCATTGGGGAAATGCAAATCAAAATCACAGTGAAACACCACTTCACACCTAGGGTGGTCATAATGAAAAAGACAATTAATCACAAGTGTTGGTGAGAATGTAGAGAAATTGGAACCTTCATGTATTTTGGTGACAGAATAACCAATAACCCTACTTATTGGTACTTGAGTATATATCTACTCCTAGATATATACCCAAGAGAAATGAAAACATATCCACACAAAAACGTATACATGAGTGTTTATAACATCATTATTTAGAATGGCCAAAAAGTAGAAACAACTCAAATGTCCATCAACTGATGAATGTATTAAACAAAATGTAGATATCCATACAGTGGAATATTATTTGGCAATAGAAAGGAATGAAGTACTGGCTGATAGATACATGCTACATGTATGAACCTTGCATACAACATGGATGAACCTTGAAAACGTTATGCTAAGTGAAATAAACCAGACTCAAAAGACCATATGTGATATGATTTCATTTGTAGCAAATGTCCAGACAGTCAAATTTATATTGATAGTAGTAGATTATGATTGTGAGGAGGAGAAGTTGGGGGACATGGAGAGTGACTATTAATGGGTATGTGGGTATGGGGTTTCTTTTCTTTTCTATTTTTCTTTTTTGAGATGGGGTCTTGCTCTGTCATCCAGGCTGGAGTGCAGTGGTGTGATCTTGACTCGTTACAACCTCTGCTTCCTGGGCCCAAGTGATCCTCCCACCAGCTAATTTTTTAACTTTTTTGTAGAGATGGAGTTTCTCTGTGTTACCCAGGCTGGTCTTGGAATCCTGGGCTCAATAATCCACCCACCTCGGCCTCCCAATGTGCTGGGACTACAGGCGTGAGCCACTGTGCCCAGCCAGTGTGGGGTTTCTTTTGGTGATGATGAAAATGTTCTAAAATTGCAATAACGGCTGCAGAATTCTGTAAATATACTAAAAGTCATCAAATCATATAATTTAATTGAGTGAATTTTATGGCATGTAAATTATATCTCAATAAAGTTGTTACAAAATGGAAGGCTGAATAAGTTGCAATATTAATGTCTGGTAAAAGAGATTTCATGGTAAAGAGTATAAATGCTAAAAGGTACAAGCCAACCAAAAATATATAACAGTCCTCAAATATACGTATCTAACAACAGAGCTTTTCAGTTACTGACAGAGTAAAAAATACATAAACAAAAATAAAATCCTTGTTTTAATTAAAATTCCTTAAATAGTAAAAAAAAAAAAGTTAATAAAATTATTGCTTTAATAAACTACAGATAGTTCCCAACTTAGGATGATTTAACTTATGTTATTTCAACTTTATGATGCTCTAAAACCATTCGGTTTTTCACTTTCAGTATAGTAGTCGATAAACTTCATGAGATAGTCAACACTTTATTATAAAATGGGTTTGTGTTAGATGATTTTGTCAAACTAACGTAAGTGTTCTGAGGACTTTTAAGGTAGGCTACACTAAGCTATAATGTTCAGTAGGATAGAGATAGTAAGTGCATTTTCAACTTAAGGATATTTTCAATTTACAGTGGGTTTAGCAGGACATAATCCCATCATAAGGCAAAGAGCATTCTATATTTAAGGCAAAAACTGAAAAGAAAAAGTAAACAACTCTACTCTCATGGTGAGAGATATTTTAATTTTTCTTGGAAATTAACATATCAAGTAGACAGAGATAATTATACAGAGAATTCACAAACTTGATGTAAACGATATCAAGACTTGCATCTGGAGTCCCAGTTACTCAAGAGACTGAGTGGGGAGGATCCTATGAGCCCAGGAGTTTGAGGCTGCAGTGACCTAAGATCACATTTCAGCCTGGGCAACCAAGCAAGACCCTGTCCCAAAAAACAAAAAACAAAAAAAAAGATAAGAAGTGCATACCCAACAAACAGAAAATATGTGTGTTACACAAACATTTTTGGAATGATCACAAAAGTTAAGTTTTAAGCCAAAAAATAACAAATTTCAAAAAGCTAAATCCACACAGGCCACATTCTTTAATCAAAATTCAATAAATTAGAAATTCATAACAAAATCCTGTCTACTTAAAAACTTTAAAACTTCCTTTTAAATAAATAACTGTTTTGTTAAAAATAGGGTGAACATACTTTCCAGTTCACCTAGGACAGTCTCAGTTAACACTTGTTGTCCTGACAAAACACGTATACTGTCATGTACTGCAAAGTGATATTTTAGCCAACGAAGAACTATATATACAACAGTGGTGCCATAAGATTATACTACTATATGTTTACAGTGACTTTTCTATGTTTGGATATGTTTAGATACACAAATATC